GCCACAGGCACCCGCCCGGCGGCGGGACGGCCAGGGCGCCGTCCAAAGTGACACTCGGACGTCACAGGAACCTGCCACCGAAGGAGACGGGTCCGGGAGGAGGGCCACGTGGCTGCCCCGCCACGCGGGCTCCGTGGCTCTCGGGAAGCGAGCTCGGTTCCCCACACATCTACGCAAAATCTCGAACTTTCCACCCAGCTCTGATTTCCCTGATTTTTTAACTCCAACAGCTCCTTTCCCATGCCGCTCTGCTGTGAACATCGCCGGCACCTCAACAGGAAATACGTGATACCGGCATTTTTTTTTAAGAGTAATTCTGAAGTATACTACACAACTGGATGTTTTTAAATACATTATCATAATATTAACATAATAAGCAATGAAAGAAAATTACCCATTGTTTGCTAACAGTTATGCTAAAGAGATGCAGTGAGTAGAAAATAAGACATGCCTACAATTAAAAAAAAGATATTTCGCTTCATTCAAAACTGCCTCTCACTATTTCCATCGCCCTGTGTGAATAAATAATCATTAACAAAATTAAACTTAAAAGATTCACAAAACATAAGCAGGCAGTGGCTGAGTCTCAGAGTGAATGAACGAACAGCGGACCAGCCCCACCCCCCGTCCCCCCGACACACACCCCACATGCTCACTCACTCACAGCAGAGGGGAGCCTCACGTCGCCGGCAGAACCCTAACAAAGGCGCACCGGAAACGCACGGGCCGTCAGGACCTGGCGCGCAGGGTGGGCGGTGGTGGCCGAAGACACGGTCCCTGCACACCGTCTCCAGGCCTAGCCCCGCTCGGCGTGTCTGGGGGAGAAGTGGCCTCCGAAACGTGCCAGTGTGCCACTCCCCAGCGGGGACGCAGCTCCGGGCTCGCCCCCGGTCGGCCCCGGGAGAAGGGGCAGTTTTCGGGCCGCCCGCCCTGCCTGCCCCCCACCCACGCCTGCGTGTGGGGTCTCAGGGTCCGTCCGTCCGGCCTGACAAAACCCGAGGCCTCGGCTTCTGCCCCGCACCCGTGAGGGCGCGACTCCAGGCCCAGGACCTGAGAGCATCGCCTGGCCGCCGGGGGGGCCCCGGCCGGGGCGGGGGACGGCGCCGCCCGCCAGCCACCGACTCCGGTCCCGAGGGTCTGCACGCACCTGGAGCCGCGGATTTTTGAGCAACTTTTCGTCGCAGGCCTCCCCGCTGGCACGGAGAGCCGCCTGCCTCAGACCCGGGAAGTACAATCAGGGCCCTCAGAATTCAGAAGGCAGAAATAAAAACCAGCTGAGTGGCGGGGTTCTGTCTCGGCGTCACCGCGCGGTTCAAAGGCAGGATCACGGAGGTCATTAAGCAGCATTGTCTCCGTGACATGATTAGCCAGGTAGCGGGGACCATTTGTCACCTGCAGCAGCAAATTGAGTTAATGCTGCACTACAGGCTATGGGGACTGTGTAATATCAACGTGATTACATCAAGCGGGCTGCAAACTTGACAGCTCACTGAATTTGTCGGCATTAATCGTTACGCCTGTCACAAATCCATCAGGTTTACAGATAATTAGGGGCCTGTTAATGAAGCTGGCTAAACAACCTTACCTTTTTGGATAATTAAGACGCCGCTTCATTACGGAGGGCCATTCCCTCCGAGCGGTGCTCCTTTATTTTTTCATACGAGGAGGTTTCATTTAGATAATTTTCCCTTCCTCTCTCATCACTATGAAGTATAGCTAGTCTACATCTGTCATCCACCAACTTCCTGGCTACCAAACAATCAATTATTCCACACTCAGATATTCTCAAGAAAAACTCATCAGTTACGGATGGAACGCAGAGCGACCGGGCCCTGTGCAGCGTCCAGGGGAGCGCCGGGATGTCACGATAATAAAACCACTTTGGGGAGCAGCTCGACTCTCAGACGTGTGCAACCGCCCCCCTCCTTCTGGAAACGCGCGCCCGACGCCGGCTTCCGGCTACTTGCGGACACCGGCCGCGTCTGCCCGAGCCCGAGCGG